ACAAAGGCAATAAAAGGCATATGCCTCTGTTGTTTTACAAAGAGGCATGTTTACTCATCTAATACACTATCTAAAAAATTGGCATAGGCAATGACATGAAAAACATTTAAGTAATTGCTGTTCTGAATGGGTCTAATGTCTCCTTTTTGACATAGTTGGTGTAACATTGTTCTGTATTTTAAGCTTAGACTTTGAAAAGATGCCTCAAAAGATACTCAGAAGCATACTCAAATTATATCTGTCTTTGAAGGCTGAGAGAGGAGGGAGGTTCAGTTCTAGAACCTTAGAGAAATATGAATAAATAACATGCAATTAGAAAACTTCCTGTCCTGTTAACCATGCATATCTCATTTATCATTAGTAGAACTGCACAGAGGCACAAAAATTAAACTGGATGGCCAGAAGATAGATCACATTCATTTGGTAGCTTGGGCCCCAATTTCTGCAAGTGGGTGGCAGAGAAAAGAGACAGTTTCCAGTTGCTGAGTCTCATCAGATTCCTGAGTCAGAATCAAGGAATGGATTCAGCTGGGGTTAGGGAGACAGACAGCAGAGGGACAGATGCAGCCTAGTGCTACAGCTGACCCAAAATGAAGCTGCATTATACTACCTGTTAGTTATCATACTTGCAGCTTTTTCCTCTTTGTTTGTCCCCTGTGGGACATTGCCCTGTGGGTGACGGCACAGCTTGCGCTAGGACTGTTTTACCTCAACTTTTCTTTGAGGTGTCACATAATTAGCTGATGCCAAGTCCTCTACTGTCTTCTACTTGTGGAAGAATTTACCTTTGAATTAGGAAACACAATTTTAAAATGGTAGCATTCTGTTGTAAGAGCAAGAGAGAATAAAAAAATTGCACCTCCCTCCGACTCCCTTTCATAAAGCTCAATTCACTGGTACTTTCATTTCATTTACCTGTTTTGTTCACCCTTATTTATTTGTATCCATATTCTCAAACCCATTCTTAACTTTATAGTTAAAAAGCCAATTTTTTTTTTTTAATTTACTCGATGGACTTAACTTAGTTATTGAATTAGTTCCTGTTTCAATTAGAGCATGACTTGTTAAAAGAAAAGCATACACTAAGATTTTAAAGATTAGCAGTGAAGAATCTTTCACTCATAGCAAACCCTGACAAACTATCACATCCTGCTTTATATTCTCAAATTACTAATTTTTCTCAGTTCTACCTAACACAATCAAATCAGTTCTGCATTTCCTTTTCTTTCAAATCACTACCCTTCACGATGTCAGAAACTGCTCTTTTTTTAATCCTCTTTTGCTTTACTCAACCAACACAGTCTAAGGATGAAAACTCTACCTTAGTACCCTAGTAGAGTTTCCTTTCCTTTGCCATCAGTAAACCCATCTTTCAAATTGCTACAGTGAAACCCCATCAATCTTTGATTAGAAAACATTAATTTCTCCTGGTTTTGAGGCTTCATGAATTACCAGCACTTTTTCAAAAACATTCAGACTCATTCATGATGGAACATTTCTCCAGATAGCCATGGTGTTACAGATACTTTAGATATAGTTTTTAGGGGTTTTTTCTTATGTCTTATTTATTTCTTATTTCCTCCTATTACTTTTTCCATACTAATTTTACTAGATTAGGAAAATGGCAACTCTTAAACTTTCCTCTAAAAGCGCAAGGAAAGAAACCCAAAGTTTTACAAGGGTAGCCAAGAAACAGAGAGCCAATTTGAAGTGAAGTTACTGTTAATTTTGAAGCCTGTATATATTGAGTCAAATTCAGCACAGTAACTCTGGATTGCATTTTGGATTACATTGTAAACTGCAATCTGATAACTGGCGTGTACACATACACACAAAGTAAGGGAACAGAAAAAGGCTATGCGTTTGATAAAAGTAACTCTGTAAGTTCACCTATAATTATGTAGGGAGCACATATGTCCATGTGGTGGGTTAAGCGGCCCTCTTACTCCCCCTCCTCAACAGGACAGGGGAAGAAAACAAGATGAAGAAGCTTGTAGGTCAAGATAAAGACAGGGAGATCACTTACCAGTTACCGTCACAGACTCTACTTGGGGAAAATTAATTTATTTCCAATTAAAATATATTTGGACGGTGAAAAACAGACAAAAATGAAAACACCTTCTCCCTACCTACCCCTTTTTTCCCCAGTCTCAACTTCACTCCTTCACTCCCAGCTCCTCTGTCCCCCAGAGGCGCAGGAGGATGGGGAATGGGGGTTGTGGTCAGTCCATAACAGCTTCTCTCTGCTGCTCCTTCCTCCTCACACTTTTCCCCTGCTCCTGCATCAGCTCCTCTCCGGAGGCCGCAATTCCTGTCAGGAGCCTGCTCCAGCACGGGCGCTCCAGGGGCCTCAGGGGAGTCTCTGCTCGGGCACCCAGAGCACCTCCTCCCCTCCCTCCGCCCTCACCGTGGTGTCTGCAGGGCTGTTTCTCACAGTTTTTCCCTCATTTCGCACTGCCTGTTTGGCATTTTGGCCCTTCTTAAATATGCTTTCCCAGAGGCGCCACCAGCTTGGCTGAGGGGCTCAGCTGTGTCCTGCAGTGGGTCCACTGGAGCCAGCTGAAACCACCTGTGTCCGGCACGGGGCAGCCCCAGCCTCTCCTCACAGAGGCTGCCCTGCAGCCCCCCTCTGCCAGCACCTGGGCACCTGCACCCAGTCTGGTCCTACATCTCTTTTCATATTATTTAACTCCAGTGTAACTTCAGTGGCTTCAACAGCCACAGGCCCAAATGCAGAAGTGTGTATTGGTGTTTCTCTGCTATCAGTGTGAGGCCAGCACTTCATGGTGTTCCTCGCTAGGTACCATTTTGGCAGGTGCTCCACATTTCCTTGGGTTCAAAGACGAGAGCAGAATGCAGACAATGCTGCCTAAAAGTGGGTCTCCTTCCAGGATTTTTCCTTATCCAATTTCAAAGGCCTCCAGACAATGGAGATGTTACAGCTTTCCAATTTCTTTTGACATAACAAAAACCACAACAATCTTTTACAACAATCAAGTAACCTAAATATCAAATTTCTGGGTTACAATTTGGAACACGAGTGCAAGGGGAGTCCTGCACATTTCACAGACCCATCAGTATTTCCTACAGCTGTGATGAACTCAAAAAACCTATTTCCACACATTCCAAAAACAGGACTAACAAAGATTTAAAAGCTTAAGCTTTAAAAACTTAAAAATTTGAATGGCATGGGTCACTCCTCTCATGTTGAGTCTAATCTCTCTAATCTATAAACAGTGCTTCTCCTGTGGCAGCATAACAGCATAAATGGGAAGCAAAACCAGCTGATCTATACATCTGACTTAGGCAATGAGGCAAACTTGCTGACAGCCATCAGTAAAAGTATCATAGAAACAACTTTCCTGTTAAAGGGTGAATCAACACAGAGCAATTACTACAGAGTAGCTCACGTAGCTGAAAGTGAGGGCTGTGGCTGGTTAACTGCTTGGTTTGCATGTGAGTATTTGATCGGCCTTTACAATATCAGACCTATTAAAGAAATACACACCTAGATCACACAAGTCAAAAGGTCTACCTGAGCCCTCACAGCCCAAAGGGACTAATGTAGTAAAGGCAGAGTTCACAACTCTCAATCCAGAGCAAAATATCTTAACTGAGCTACTACCACGACTTTGTCTCTTCCCAAGGATTAGTCCGTTACTACTAGCAAATTATCATTACACACACAGAGATATATACATACCTAACAATATATACATATATCTAACAGTCAATTATTATCAGATATTATCGATGAATTACTAATGATGCAATACAATTAGGAAATAGAAAAACACGAAATAAGAGTTCTTTTTCTCCTCTGACACAGGTTCATGGCCTGCTTTGCTAACACTTAAGCAAATACTGAATTTCTTTCCATCTCAGTTGAAGTAAATGGAACATATGTAGAGTGCTTAAGTTCTCTGATGCATGAGGACCTTTTCCAAACATTCCAAAGAGAATGGGGGGATAGACCTCATTCCCAGTGAGGACCCACTGTCAAGAAGTCCTGAAGAAAGCTTTGGTTTTGCAGTTGAATTCTACAATGTCAGTGCAGTTCATTTCACAATAACTCCTCAATTACATTCCTCAGTAATGCAAATAAAGGCTGTTGCTCTACCATATAGTCTCATTAGGCCAAATCGCATGATGTAGCATTATATGGGCTTCCTGCTTTGCTCTGTTCATTTTTGAGGGCACTATTAGCCAATTCCTTACACAGAAGGTAAACCAGTGCTCTTGCAGCTATTCCTTGCTCAATTTTCAAGTTCATTAATCTTCATGATTTAAAAATATGCATTTCAAAGACCACCTCTGTGTTTAAATGTTTTAATTCACTGGACTAATTGATAACTATGGTTAGAGCTGTGCTGTGTGAAAACTCTGGGAAAGGCCAAATTAAACCTCACTGCTTATGCTGTCAGATAAAGTTGGTACCACTTGTAACTTAATACTTTTAAAATTGTGTGTAAATTACTCTCTTTATTCTGCTAAAACAAAAAAAAAGGAGGTTTAGGTTGTGGTAAGAAGAATCATGGAATCATAGCATCATTAAGGTTGGAAAGGACCTCTGAGATCATCGAGTCCAACTGTTAACTGCCTGGTCCACCTCTAAACCATGTCCCTAAAGAAGCAAGAATAGTTTCATGATAAATCCCAAGATGTATCAGATAATTCATTTGGCACTGGATTCACGAAGTACTATTTATGTTTGTAACCAGTTCAGGATGCTGGCTGAAATAGCAATTTTTGTGCTGTCTTTCAGTTTTGGCCAAAGGAGCTGGGATGTTGCCTGTAGATGCCACTCACAATGCTGCAGCTGACTGCTATCATGCTGAAACGGATTCATCCTCTATGGTGTACAGATAATGGGGATCCCTTTTTAAGTTTATGCCATTCTGCTCAGCCAAATCTTATATATTCTATACTCCAGGGTCTGTACAGGTATAGATAAAAGGATTTGATGTAAAAAAAAAAAAAAGGTCAAAGCCATATATTACCTTAGCCAGGTGAGTATTGATCCATTTTGTGAAAGTCCTTTTCTGCACTGACTCTTGCTCATCTGAGAAAAAAAGGAAATCAGTTTGATTAGACATTGCTGAATCCTTTTGGATTTACATGATGGAAGAATAATATTCTCTATTGACAACAAATGCATTCTGCATTTGCCAGAAATGCCACTATGTTTTCTCGAGACAGTTAATTTTGCCTGTAACTACCCATAACAAATACTTCATATAGTTACAATAATGCTCTGACACTTGACTATTTGTAGAATTTCACAGCAATGTTCAAGTCTCAACAAGTGAATGAACTGTAAGACACAATTTCAAATCTGAATACCAAGATAAATTTGACATCTAAGTCCATATTATATTTACCCAAGGTTTGAGCACCTAGAACTTCTCTGTACTTTTTAACTAGAACCCATGTCTCTGACAGTCAAGTTGCTTTTATTTAGGAAATTAACTAGAGACTTAGAAAAAAATACTCGTAGCATGTACATTTGAAAATGTTTATGATATTGAATTAAAGATTTGAAATTGCATTATCAAGCTTATTTGTCCTCTGGGAGATCCAGACAGGGAGGAGCCATTAGCTATTTCAGGCAGTTTCTATACTGCTACTTACTACCTCCCTTAGTCCTGTCTTGAAGCACTTGTCTGATTTATAGTGAATTTCACTGATTCTCAGATAGTCCCTCAGGGACTGTTGCCAGCTGCATAGACAAAAATAGCTCCTGAATGAGCTCCTCCAGCTTCAGCAGCCAGGGTCATGGCTGCAGAGGGAAAAGAATCACAGTGCCATAACCAATCCATGAAGTCCTGTCCCTTGGTTGTGGGGAATTGGGTTTGACACATGGAATAATTTCACACCAGTGGCATTCAAGTATTTATGTTGGGGACTTTTCTTTCAAAAATAAAAGGAAATACCTATTTCACTGAAAATCAATCATATTATTGCCATCATTAGTTCTGAATGAGCACCTTCATTCCCCTACAGAAAATCCAAATAAATAAAATTGCTGTTAAATATTCACTTTTTATAAGAACACATGCATGTCCCAAAACCTACAGATGGAAAATCTAATTTTAGATACTGCCTTTGCTACTGACTTGTGCAGCACTGAATAGCAATTTGATCTCTTTCACATCTGTAAAATTAAAAGGGAATATTATTTAATCCCCTTTAAAGCTCTGGAATAGATAACTAATAAGTTTGATGTGCTACTAATAAGCTCCCTGATTTACACTCACATAATGCTCTCCACAGTGAGGGTACATAAAGATACAAATCGCAGCACAAAATTCATCAGCCAAAATGTTATCCTAAGCAGGACAACGATGGCTCCCTGACCACATACGAGCTCCCCAAAAGTGTTTCTGCATTATGACTCGGATATTTTATATTTTCTTTACATAAAAACAATATCTCACATATAAGAAATATCAGAGGAAAAAAAGATACATATCTCTCCAGCTAATCTACTGCTAGATTAGCACACTTCATGTCTAAGAAAATAATTTTGCATTCTTTACCTTCTTTTTCTTTGATTTCATTGGGTAGGCTGCCTTACATCATCTTAAAAACATTCATTACATTCTCAGAATCTACTTGTTGCACTGACAGGCAAGTTCTGAAAAATATCACTCAAAATACTGCATCGTGCTTCATTCAGTACTGACTATTTTTGGCAAGGGGTGTCTTTACTTTATACGTGATAATTGTTTCTACATTCTGGAAAACAGACTTCTCACTGTGTGGTTTCTAACCATGAATAAGATGTTTCCCTTGTGACATACAGTAAATGTCATCTCTGCTCTGACAAGCAATTATATATACAGGTAGCCCAATTGATTTCAGTGGAAGTACTTGCACGCTTGAATTGCGTTGTGTGTGAGTAGGTGTGGGGACAGAGACCGAGCACGCACAGAATCAGTCCAGCTCTGGCCCCATTCACACCTCTGTAATTTACAGTTCCCCAGCAACCCCGATACAACAACAGCATGCCAAAAGAAAAGAACTGGGCCTTAGAAGTCAAACTTCTGATCAAAGAAATGAGTGAAAATGATTCCCTAATCTGCAGTGTCAGTCCATCCTGATGATTTAAGAAGCAGCCTTCTGAGAACAACTGGAAATCAGAACCAGCTCCTGGCTTCTAAACATTTACCAGCAGAAGACATACTCCGTTCCAGTCATATCGACAAACAGCAGAAATAGCCTTTCAAAATAATCTGTTTCAAGGGAATGTATGTGAGCAGTATATTCTTTATGGGAATAGAGAACATACTATTAATAATAAAGTTTCCTTTTTTATAGCACTTATTTTGTATAGGTTTAAAAGGAACAGATTTTACCACTGTAAAACCTCTGTCTGAACATAATACAAGTAGTGGATTGATTTTACAAATGCCATGATAAATATGGTTTTTACAGATTTCCCTGGAAATTCATTGAACTGATCTAAATTCTTCGCAGAGGTACTGTTTATCTGTACCCACAAGACGCATGTGTCATACAGTTTCTTACATTCTCCCCACTTGCAAGGACTGTCAGCTCCTTATTTGCGCCACTTCCCCTGCCGGTACTGAAAGAACCCAGGAAGCAGATTTAACGATGTAACATTTCTGCCACCAGCACCTTTGTAGCGAGCCATAAGCACTGCTGCTGCTGCTGCTGCTGCTGCTGCTGTGGCTGCGGCTGCGACTGCGGCTGCTGCTGCGGCTGCGGCTACTCCTGTCTCGTGTAGTGTGCAGCGTTTCTTCAGAATACAGCCACAAGTAATCTTTCAAGAACAATCTGATTTTTTTCCTTCACTGGAAATGCAGGCCTCTTACACAAATCCCTCCACTTGCTCTTATCAGAGAATTCGCATGAAGCTAGACCTTAAAAACATCTTTATATATTCTTGCAGAGATGCAACAGCCAGACAAATCCAGCTGTATTGGAAGTAGCAGTTCTGCTGGTCTCACTGCCATCATCCTTCTCCACTGTTTTCCTGTGGAAAGATTTTATTATCCGAGCACCAGCCAATCCGCTAGCGGAAACCTTTGATGTCAAAAGCCTGAATAATTCATCCAGGGACTGGGACAACCCAACTACACTGCCAGTATCCTAAAGCAGCAAGATGTGTGGCTGCAAAAAGCGATGCAGTCTTCTCACCAGTGCTTTTGTAACAATATACTGCTCGGTAAGCATAAAAATGGCTGAATGGCAGAGCCCTTCTTTACGTTGTCATACATATAAAGGAAAGCAGCTTTTAAAAGCAACCACTTGGGTTCATCATTGCGTACTCTATTTCGACATGAATGTCCTTCAGCTTTGCAACTGAAACAGTGAAGTGGAAGAAATAGCAAGCAATGAATATGAACAGACATGTAGGCCACTTAGCTTTTAATAATATGTTTGAACTGTTGTACAAGAAGGACAAAACGTATGTAAGGATGCGCAGAATTTTTGGAGTGCACCTAGATCAGCCTAAAACATACTCAAACTGCTGATAATATGCAGTACTTTCTATTTCATTAAATCAGAGCACCAGAGCATTTGAACAGACTTTGTTTTGCTCTGGTAAAATGAAGGCAGTTAGGAAACTGTGGAGATTCATATGTTGTTCACCCACAGGGGCCAACAGAGTAGTACACAATATTGACATGAGAATAAAATGCCTACTTGTAGTATGCCATTACAGTAAATGTATCGTTATAGAGGTCGAATTCAATTTTCTGTTTTTGTAAAATACAATGACTCTTACAAGATCATTCTGCATCTGAAGGAAATGTTGCAAGAAAGTTTGGTTTTATTTAATCAAGTGTCCTCCTTTAATTGGCTGGAAGTATCTTCATGTTTTTACAAACCTTTTCTCTGCTACAGCACCACCAACAGACTGCATTTTTAGTTTGATTAGGAAAAAAAGACAAATGTAATTGGATATATTTACTTAAAAACATCTAGAACAAATTATTTTGAAAGATGAACAAAACCAGCCATGTATCTTCAGACAAATATGCTGATGAAATATTCATCATGCATGCATATTATAATGGCTAGTATCATGCATATCATATATATACATCAAGAGACAGGCATGCTTTCTAGCAGAGTTTTTCTAGAGCCAGGCTTCCTGAGCAGCACAGTCCCTGCCTGCTGGCTGCAGCAGCAGCCCCTCCTCAGCTGCAGAGATCCATGTGCCACAGGTGTGTGGCATGCAGGAGCAGATCGCACATCGAGCACTTACTGCCTCGGGTGCTTGGGGATCGGATGGCAGGAAGGCAGCTGCAGTGCAGGGTTGCAAATGTAGGGTTCTGCTGCAAAGTAACACAAGGAGGAGTCTCATGCGTAGAGTGAGAGACATGACAGAGCAGAGTTCCCACACGTCTAATAAAAGCATCTTGATTGATTCTCAGTGACCTAATATTGTGGAGAATTGTTTTGTTTCTTACTTTAGTGACATTCGATTCAGGTTGCTCACAGCTCCTCATTTTCAGCATCCTTTTTTGTTTTCTTTGGTTTTGATAGTTCTGTCCTAAAAACACGAAGGAGCTTTTTGTTTTGTTTTGTCTTCCAGGTCTTTGGCACCTTTAGGAATACTGCTAAAACAACTTGGAAGTGCAGAGAAGTGTGCCAAACCACCTGCAATGCTTCAAGATGTCACTTGAGAACACAACACAGCACAGAAAGCAGCAAACAGTACCCTGCTGGGAAAGTTTGTTTGGTCAGCAGTATGGCATAAATTCTCTAAAGCTTTCAATAAGATATGCTATATAGCGATTTCCATCTTCATTAAGGACATTCTTAACTTAAAGCAGCTGTAGAAAAACTTGCAGAGCCAAAGCAATAATACGGAGACTCTACTTAGCAATATTATAAGCTACATAGTTTAATCAACACTAATCAACACCTCCATAACAGATGGATAACCCCATTCAGGAGTACTGCACAGAGGCAATGCAAGGCTCGTTTCTTTTTCTTTAAGACTCCAGTTAATGTTTTTTATGGGACAATGCCAGGACAGTTTTCCTTTTTAAAAAACAAGAAACAAACAAAAAACTTTGGTGGTAGCTCTAAAGCTAATATATTGTTGCTAAGTTTAATAGTAATACTATACACTTTAGGAAGTAAAAAAGGATGCGTGAGCTATGGGCAGTGGGAGCAAAGTAAGAAAGAGGGACAAATTGATTTCTGCAGCCACTGCAATGCAGTTGACAACAACACTTAGCAGTACTGATACAAAGAATAGGAATATATTTTTAAATGCCTTGTGCATTCAGGACTTTTCCATTTTTTATATTTTGAGGAGAAAGTCAGGATTTGTCAAATAGTTGCTTTTGGGTACATGCCTCTATTGCATGTGTTTTATCAGAGACAATAAGACAGTCCCACTAACAGATCTGTTATCTAAATTTCCAAGCTTTGAGATCTACGTGCATGCACCAGCCATAGTCTGCTCCACCACTGAGCAACCAGTCTGCTCCCCATCAGTTTCTGCAGAAAGGAAATTCATGCACAAGGGCTAGAAGGCAACCAGTCATCCTTGGCCAAACGCCTGCTAGGGAAAACGATGGGGATCAGGACTCTGGGCTTTGCACCAGCATGTACCATTGCTCAATCTAGAGGTAACCTTAGTACGGACTTTGTGGAAGTAGAGAAAACCTCCCCGTGTACTGGTGGAATAGTTACAGGAAACTGCAGTGTGGAGAAGCAGCCTCACAGCTGCAGAAATACGGCCTGCCGTGCAGCGTGCTGCTGGACAGCAAATGGCACACTGCTGAGAACT